ATCATACTCAAAATGACTTGAGGCTGTAATTGGTGCTAAAGGTGCTTCAACAAAGTATTAAGCAAAGGCTGTGAATACTTATACACGTGTTTTTTTCTGTTTGTTTTATTTGTAATAAATTGCAAAGATTTTAAAACGAAAATCTTTCACATTGTCATTATGGGGCATTGTTTCTAGAATTTTGAGGGAAAAAAATTAAGCTAATCACATAACAAAATGTGGCAAAAGTTAAGCACTGTGAATACTTTCTGGATGCGCTGTAGCTACAACCCAGTGACTCCGCTCCCATGCCTCCCAGCATATTTCCCAGGAGAGGGACACCCCCTTGCTCTCTCTCTTCTTGGGGAGCTCTAGCCAGTTTTCTTCTTATTTACTTTTCTACCCTGCTCCTGGAAGCACCTTTCATACTGTTTTTATGCTTAACACTTGACATTTGTTGATTTCATACCATATCTGGGATCAGACTATCGTAAGAGTCCATGTTTTTCCTAGATCCCGTTACTGTGATCAATGTAAACTCTTATTTTAGGTCTTCACCTTATGCTTCAGTATTCTATTGTTACTTGGAAGTAGGTTATCTCAGTGTTGCCTAGACTATGGACGACATTTTCAAGACATGGCATTTTCCTAACGTGCAACACTCTGTTGTGTTTTTGAACCCATATCTGTAAATTATTAAAAAAACCTATTAGAATAAAAAGGAATTACAAAAAAAGAACACCTGTTAGGTTTTTATTGCTGTCTGTGTCCCCATAAGGGAGATTCACTTTATTTGTCCTGTTTACCATTATCATTGAAAGTTAAAGTAAAAGAAAATCCCACATTTTGGGTTGTCCCCAGAAAATTAGAGGGGATATCTTCTAATGGGAACACCAGTTCCTTTGACCTGGGGGTCCCTAAGAGAATTACCTTAATTTGCAGGGATTTCCCCTCACTTCCTGTTTTGGCTATGGGACAGGAAATGAAGGGAAATCCCCCCCAAGGGGACACAGATGGCAAAAAAAAAAATATAAGTAAACTGACAGGTGCTATAACATTATCCAAAATGGCAGAAAAAAAAAAAAAAAAAAGTCTCTAGTTTTACTTTGACTATAGACACTGATGTAGAACAGTGATCTGTAGCTATAGACACCATCATATCCGAAACTGTTGACACTGATCTGTAACTGCAATATCCATAGACCCTGTAATCTAAAACAATGAACTGCAGCTATAGACATATTCATAACTATCAAAAAATACAAAGCGAATGTATCCTGCGCCTCTAACAATATAGAAAATACAAAATATATGTAAAAATAATAAAAGCGGGGTAAGTGAGCGCTAAAATTAATATAGTATAAGATCTGTCCGCGGCTGTGTACCACAAAGGCACCATATAAGACCTTCAGAGAAACAAGTAAAAGGAGGGGGGTGCAGCGCTAGAGAGAATCCACAGATGTTATGTTGAAGAATAATAACAGTATAAAATAAAAATGATGTGCAAATAAATGAGCCACTGAATGGTGGCTATTAATGTGAAGAAGGTGTCAAACACTATAATAAAATTAAGTCCAAAACAGGAGTGTTGGTAAGATCTCAGATGATCTTCAGATATCCAATAGCTGGAAACATGGAAAGGGTGACAAAATGTTTAAAGATTGCACACTCACCAGATACGCAATCTCAATGGCATTACTAGTAGATAACCACAGGACATCAGATATCATCAGATTGGTCTGGTCAGATCTGGTCAAGTATCCCTCACTGCCTGGTAGTACTGTCACACTTGAAGGTAACCTCTTAATGGCTGCAGCTGCTCTGTGAACGTAGCTAGCTCCCATGGGAGCTCAAAAGAACAGAGAGGGCCACATAGTGCAGTATCCTTAGGATGTTTATTCCATATAAAAGGCAAATATACAAAGGAGGCGTACTGATAAAACAATACTGACCATAAAGTAACAAGATGGCCACCGAGGCCCCTCATGGTGCCGGCGGTGTGGCGTCACACCTGCTATACACTGAGGGCAGAGCTACAGCAGGTGTGACGCCACGCCGCTGGCGCCACGAGGGGCCCCGGCGGCCATCTTGTTACTATTTATGGTCAGTATTGTTTTATCAGAGCAGCTGCATCCATTAAGAGGTTACCTGCAAGTGTGACAGTACTACCAGGCAGTGAGGGATACTTGACCAGATCTGACCAGACCAATCTGATGATATCTGATGTCCTGTGGTTATCTACCAGTAATGCGCATTGAGATTGCGTATCTGGTGAGTGTGCAATCTTTAAACATTTTGTCACCCTTTCCATGTTTCCAGCTATTGGATATCTGAAGATCACCCGAGATCTTACCAAACACTCCTGTTTTGGACTTAATTTTCTTTATAGTGTTTGATACCTTCTTTCACATTAATAGCCACCATTCAGTGGCTCATTTATTTGCACATTATCACTTTATTTTATACTGTTATTATTCTTCAACATAACATCTGTGGATTCTCTCTAGCGCTGCACCCCCCTCCTTTTACAAAATATATGTGCTTATGTTGTGCACCATGAAAATATGCTAAAAGAGAGTGACTGCTAGCAATATAATTGTGTTCCCACAAGCAATACTACTTTAAAAAAAAAAAAAAAAAAACACACGGCTCAAAAAAAATTAAAGGAACACTTTGAAAACACATCAGATCTCAATGGGGAAATATCTCATGCTGGATATCTATACTATTACGGTCTGGGTACGTGTTAGGGACGTCAGGATGCCCCATCATTTTATGTAAATGAAAATTATCAACCTACAGAGGACTGAATTCAAAGAAACTCCAAAAATCAACATGAAAAAAATAATGCAGCAGGCTAGTCCATTCTGATTAAATTTCACTGCACCAACTCAGAATGGTTCTCAGTAGTTTGTGTGGCCCCCACGTGCTTGTATGCATGCCTGATAATGTCGGGGCATGCTCCTAATGAGACAACGCATGGTATCCTGGGGTATTTCCTCCCAGATCTGGACCAGGGCATCACTGATCTCCTGGACAGTCTGAGGTGTAACCTGGTGGCGTCGGATGAGCTGAAACATGATATCCCAGAGGTGTTCTATTGGATTTAGATCAGGCAAGCATGGGGGCCAGTCAATGGTATCAATTCCTTCATCCTCCAGGAACTGCCTGCATACTCTTGCCACATGAGGCTGGGCATTGTCATGAACCAGGAGGAACCCAGGACCCACTGCACCAGTGTAGGGTCTGACAATGGGTCCAAGGATTTCATCCCAATACCTAATGGCAGTGTGTCATTGTCTAGCCTGTGGAGGTCTGTGCGTCCCTCCATGAATATGCCTCCCCAGACCATCACTGACCCACCACCAAAACGGTCATGCTGAACGGTGTTTACAGGCAACATAACGTTCCCCACAGCTTCCCCAGACCCTTTCAGTAACTGTCTGTCCCCTGGAATCTCCTTCATGCTCTTGAAACTGTGCTGGGAGACACAGCAAACCTTCTGGCAATGGCATGTATTGATGTGCCATCCTGGAGGAGTTGGACTACCAGTGCAACCTCTGTAGGGTCCAGGTATCACCTCATGCTACCAGTAGTGACACTGACCGTAGCCAAATTAGTGAAAAACAGTCAGAAAAGATGAGTAGGGAAAAAAAGGTTACCTGTAAAACCATTTCTATTTTGGGGTTAGTCTCATTGTTGCCCATCTTGTGCACCTTTTAATTTTATAAACACCAAAAGCAGCTGAAACTGATTAACAACCCCCCTCTGCTACTTACCTGACCAGAGCAATATCCCAGGCGTTTGACTTGATGCTATACACTGATTAAAAAGTGTTCCTTTAATTTTTTCTTTGAGCAGTGTATAGTGCTACGCCTCCCTCTCAAAGATAATCCAATATGTGAATCTATAAGAATAATTAGGGCAGCACATTGGCTAAATGGTTAGCACTTCCGCCTGGCAGTACTAGGGTCGTTGGTTCGAATCCCAGCCACTGCACCTCCTGCCTGGAGTTTGCATGTTCTCCCTGTGCCTGCGTTGGTTTCCTCCCACACTCCAAAGACATGCTGGTAGGTTAATTGGCTCCTGTCTAAATTGGCCCTAGTATGTATGAATGTAAGTTAGGGACCTTAGATTGTACACCCCTTGAGGGTTAGGAAATGATGTGAATGTATAATATGTATGTGAAGTGCTGCGTAAATTGACAGCATTATACAAGTGCCTGAAATAAAAATAAACACGTAAAAATATATATTTTCCATGTTTAATTGTTCTTATAGAGGGAGGCACAGCAATACATTTCCTTTGTTATATTCAGAACTATAAACACTGATCTATAACTGCAACTGATATGTGGAGGGAGGCTGCGATCGCTGTATCCACAGACACTGATCTATAACTGCTATATGGAGGGAGGCTGCGATCGCTGTATCCACAGACACTGATCTATAACTGCTATAACTGGAGGGAGGCTGCGATCGCTGTATCCACAGACACTGATCTATAACTGCTATATGGAGGGAGGCTGCGATCGCTGTATCCACAGACACTGATCTATAACTGCTATATGGAGGGAGGCTGCGATCGCTGTATCCACAGACACTGATCTATAACTGCTATATGGAGGGAGACTGCGATCGCTGTATCCACAGACACTGATCTATAACAAGATCCTGTAGCTACAGACACTGCGATTATTACATCAATGGATCACGGTGATGCTGATCTATAGACACTGTGACCTGTCTATATATACAAGTTAGATCTGTATAGAGTGTGGTCTAGAACAGTTTCCTGGCGCTCCCCTGTAGTCAGTTTCAGCCCCCCTTCCTTCCTATAGTAATAGGCTCCTGCCTTCTTCCTATACAGCCTCCAGTCACATGGCTGCTTTCCATAGACACTCCCCCTCCTCTGACATCACCCCCGCCCCCATGCCAGCTCACACATGGTACACTCATGTACCCCTTCCAAGTACTGACAGCCCCTCGACACACACAAAGTTCTCTTCCCTATGGGAGTACCTGGTGAGAGAAGCAGGCAGTGATGAAGCTGCCCGGAAGTCAGCTGCTGTGATCCGTCCAATGAGGTGCCGGGCTCTGTGTCCGGGCAATGTGCGGTACAGACGGTGGAGCGGTACCCAGCGCATGGTGATGACAGACGAAAAGAAGTGTGCCCCGGCCTCTCGCAGAGCACACAGAGATACAGGGGCGTTCTGTGCAGCAATCTCCGCCCACAGAGGGAGGGGCTTCTGCTGGCCTGCCTGTGGATTAACCAACTCATGTCCGGTTTGCTGACACCCCACTCACTGGTGGACCGTGGAAGTTCCCAGAGACATACGATTTAGTTGACTGATAGAACTCCACGCACCACGTGGCTGCTTTTCTGCGGTTTCTTAATCCTTCACTGAGGAAAAAAAAGTTTTTTTTTGTCTTTTCTTTTTTATTTACCCCCCTTCCTGACCAACGCCATTTTTTTGCAATACTGCGCTGCGTTATTTTGACAATTGCACGGTCATGCAACCCTTTACCCATATTATTATTATTATTACATTATTTATATAGCTTCAAAAGGTTTGCTCAGTGCTGTATGAAATTTACATAGTTTTTCCCCCATGAATAGAGCTTTCTTTCTGCGGTATTTGATCGTCTGTTCGTTTTTTAATTTTTTGCGCTATAAAAAATAATACAATTTTGAGAAAAAAAATATTTTTTACTTTTTGCTATTAAACATGTCCAGTAAAAAAAATGTAAAAATCAAATTTCATCATAAATTCAGGCCAAAATGTATTCTGCGACATGTCTTTTCTGAAAAAAAAAAATCCCAATATGAGTAAATTAATTGGTTTACGTTGAAGTTATATCGTTTACAAATAACAGTATATATACTGAGATTTTTATTTTTTTTTTTTACTAATAATGGCGGCGATCAGTGACTTATAGCGGAACTGTGGGACTGTGGCGGGCATTATGACACTGGGGGGAACTGACTTGGTGTCACTGACATCTCCAGTGACACCAATACAGTGATCAGTGCTAATAAAAAGCACGGACACTGTACGATTGGCACTGGGCAGGAAGGGGTTAACATGAGGGGAGATCAAAGGGTTAACTGTGTGCTGTTTTGCATACTGGGCTATGTTTGTGCTTAACTGTAAGCACACTGCTTTGTATGGCTGTGCTATGCAGTTTGCAGGAGCTGACAGGAGAGAACTGTTTGGTTTACAAACAGTTCTCCCCCCCCCGTCGGAGATGCTCAGCAATCACTGGGCGCCAGCGAGTAATCACTGGCCGGTACCTGGTGATTGAAAGCCGAGGCCACCAATGAAGGCACAAGTAGGGCTCTGGGTCTGAAATTATGTAAATATTTTGGGGGTTTTAACCGCATTCCCGCCATCCTGTAGCAGATATACTGCTACAGGGTGGCAGGGGCGCGCAAAATCGCGTCTGTATATACGTGATTTTGCATTTCCGGGTAGGGGCGCGCGCTATAGGGCAGAGGGAAAGCGGTAAAACCCCCAAAATATTTACATATTTTCAGACCCCAGAGAATAAAATGGTACAAGTCCGAAGTGACGATGAAAGTGGTACTAAACCCAGGACCCAGCATTAACTATATCTGGTCTCACACAGAACATGTAAATGCAATTATTTTTTTCTCATCAGCAGAGCATTCTTGTGACTTCTATCAGAGTCCAGCAGAGCACATGTTAAAGCTTGTAGGAGGAGTTTTCTTTATAGGAGTATGCAGAACCCCTGACCTCTGTCTGGACAGTACTGATTGGCCCTGTGCTGATCACATGTACGCTCCCAAAGAAAAAAAAAACTCTAGCAATACACACTAAACTGAGCATGTGCACAGTGACTCCTAGAGCTTTGTACTATCAGCAGATGGATTGGGGACAGTATAAGGGGAGTATCAGAGAAGACAGGATCAAACAGCCTTTTTACACAATGGGGAGGACTAACCCTTTAGGTTCCATAATGAGTATAACAAGCATGCTTTGCTGCATGATTGTACTGATTTTACTGACTGTTGTAGGTTTAGCAACATTTGAAGGCTTTTTTTTCCTTAAAGTGGTGGTAAACGCTAACAAAAAAAGAAGAGTTTTCCTCTGTACAGCAAAGGCATAATGTGCTGGTATCCATCGCATACCAGTACATTATGAAGGACTTACTTTAAAACGAAGCCCTGCAGCAACGCAGTCTCACCACTGCAGAGGCTCTCATCTTCGCCCAGTCTTTATTCCGGGTTTGCAGGTTGCGGCCACTTGATTGGCCAAGATCATGTCACTCCCTTGCATGCGTGTGGGAGACTTGGCTGCGGTATGCAGCTCTGAAGGAATGGCATTCCTTCAGAGCGCATGCGCCGGTGATGTCACTGGCTGCAGCTCGCTAGAATATCTCCGTTTCGGTGATATTTATTTTACCCACAGGTAAATGTTATTGTAAGCTTACCTGTAGGCAGAAATAATAAATGACAGTTTTTTACCACTTAAAAAAAAGGTTATTTACCTGCTCTGTGCAAAAATATTGCACAGAGCGATCCTTTACCTCCTTTTGGACAGTTTTCCACCAGCACTGTGTGCTCCTCCCTCCTCTGGGTGGCTCCTTAGCAAGCCTTGTGCTTGAGGTGCGCTTCCAAGCTTGGCTGTGTGCACCCTTAGACACACACAGCCCTGGTAAGTCACGCCCCCTGCTCCATCCTCAGACTGATTGACAGCCGCAGGAACCTATGGCTCCTGTGGCTGCCCTCAGTGTCTCCTGTGAGACCAGGAAGAGAGAGGAACGGTGCTGCAGCTGGGACAGAGCTGGATTAGTGACGGCTCAGGTAAGTGTTTAGGGATGGGGGGAGGAGGGGTATGGCCAAATGGTAATTGCTTTATTTTTCCTAAAAATAATGGTACTGCACAGACTGGCCCCTTATCTCCTCTTCTGGATTCCCCCACCAGCAATGTCCACTTCTCCTCTCCTGTGTGTACCGATGTGCTATGGGGGCACCCGGGAGGGAATATTTCTGATGCGGACTGTGTGCATCCATAGATACATACAGCATGGCTCGGCCACATCCCCTCGCCTCCCTCCTTGACTGATAGCAGCCTCTGGTTCCCACTGCTGCCTGTGTGTCCTGTTAGAAGAGGAAGAGAGGAGAGCGGGGCTGCAGACAGGACAGCGCTGGATCAAGAGAGAATTCAGGTGTTTTTGGTGGGGGGGGGGGGGGGGGGGGGGGCAGGTAGTGGGGAGGTTTTTTACTTTAATGCAGGGAATGCAGACTTTAGAACCACTTTATAGTTAAAAAAAAAAACAAAAACTTGAGAACCACTTTAAAACTGATCTCCATGTTTCCTGTCACTTTAACCACTTCAGTTCCAGAAGGTTTTACCCCTTTCATGATCAGGCTATTTTTTCCTATTTAGCACTACGCTACATTAACTGGTAATTGTGCGGTCATGCACAGCTGTACCCAAACAAAATGTATATCATTTTTTCAGATAAGTAGAGCTTTTGGTGGTATTTGCTCACCCCTGGGTTTTTTTTTTTATTATAAATGAAAGAAGACCAAAAATGTTGAAAAAAAGACAATATGTTTTACTTTCTGCTATAAAACATATCCAATAAAACAAATCAAATTACTTCTTAAATTAGGCCAAAATGTATTTTGCTACATGTCCCAATAATTGTATATTTATTGGTTTGTGTTATAGCTTGTGTTATGAGTTATAGCATCTGCAAACTATGGCATATACTGTATACTGGATTTTTTTTTATATATATATATATATATATATACTAGTAACAGCAGTGATCAGTGGCTGATTTTGCAGTGGTCAGTCTGGCACTGGGTGGGAACTGACTAACTGACATCATCAGCGACATTAATACAGTGATCAGTGATAATACTATACACTGTCATTGTACTAATGACACTGGCTGGGAAGGGGTTAACATCTTGGGGTAAACAATAGGTTAGATGTGTGATTAAGGAGTGTTAATGTGTGTATTATGTGCTGCTTTCTACTAAAAATCTCTTTGTTCTTCTCCCTTCTTTGCAGGGAGAAGAAACAAAGAGATTGCAACCAATCGATGAGCTCATATAGCCTTGGCAAGAGTCCCCGCATCAGAGCGTCTTTGTCTGCATAGGAGCTCCCCATTTTTAAACCCTTTTTCTGGCAGCTTTCCCAAAGTGGGAGGGTGCCACACCCACTCTAGGAGGAGCTAACAGAAAGGTTCCGTGAAGATAAACAGAGTCATGCCCAGCCACTACACTGCGTTATCTAAGAATATCACAATTTTGCTTCAAATCAGCTTATTATCTACCCTAAACTTAAAAATGTCTTCTTAGCTACCCTAAACGTAAATTTTTCTAACTTCTCAAGCAAGTAGACATCTTTAATTGCACAAAAAAGTTCTTATATTCTAATGTAACATTTCTAGATGTCATAAACTCTTTTAATCCCACAAACAAGTTCTTATCTGCTTTAAGCAGTCTAATATCTTGTGACTCTGTTCCTTTAGCCTAGAGAAATGACATCAGTCACTTCTCATGCACCTGGCATCTGGGCAACGCTGCTTTATTGTAAAAATTACCCAAGAAACAAAGGCCCTGATTTACTAACTTATATAGACGGTGCCTAGGCGCATTTCTGTGGGCTAGCATCTACTTTTCATTGGAATCCGTCTACTTTTAGACGGCAAAGACATTTACTAAAGAAAGCGTCTAACAAATAGGCACGAAAGAGAATTAACTAGGCACAATACAGGAATCTGTCTAAAAAAACAAATGTCCTAGAAGCACGTCTAACAAAATGAAAAATCACTGTAGAAACATGTTCACATTGAAATTTGCTTTCCCAAATATATAGACTTCACTTTAAACAATATATTACATTTAAAAAAACATTTCAGTGGGTAAAAAATAGTTTTTTTAAGGGTAATGGTTTTACATATTTCGAAGATCTAGATAAGATATATATATTGACAACTGAATCTAAAAATAAAGGTCGTCAATGAGAAAAAAAAAAGCCATTATTGAGAATTGAACCTTTTTTTTTTTCATTGTTCGAGTTGGCAGCGGCGGCGAGCATCCTAATTGATGCTGGATCTACTGCGGGGGACATTCTTTTAGATTTTTCTTTTAATAAAGGACTTG